CGCCTGCCAGGCAGCCATCAGACCAGCACACGGGGGCTGTGGCAATGGCAGCGCTGGGCACAGGCAGCCAGAAATCTCTGGCCGCATTGTCTCGAGATGACTAATGCCTTCCAAAGCAGGGGAATGCAGCGCTCCCCTCTTTGAGCCCCCTTCCTGGGGAGGGCGGTTCATTTAAGGACGAACAATTACATTGTTACAGAAATCACTGCTTCGCCACAACTATGTTGCTCTTTGCAAAGCTCCTGATACAATGTAATGTGTCAAAAAAAAAAAACAAAAAAAAACCAAACCAGGGAACTTCTCCAAAACTTCCAAGCAGAGAAAAGGAACGTGATTCGCACCGGGTTTGGATGGGCAAGTACTTTGGGACCCTGCTGCCTCCCGTCCAGGGCAACAAATCCGTTTTATATCTTGCCTCAGGCCACCCAGACGCAGAGAAACGGAACAAAGGGCTCCTGGGTGCTCACTTTGCCTGGCTCCTGGCGGGACACAGGGCTGCTTTAGCTTCCAGCGAGTTTTCTTCTTGTCCACGCGGCCGGCCGCACGCGGAACTCTGGGCCCATCAGTGCATCCTGAGTTACCGCCAGAGGAACACGCCGGTTTCCCTTCTACGACCACCTCCTTCGGGGTGGGGGAGGAAGGAGGAAGTATCTGGTTTCCTGTTTAGGGGATTTTAAATGATCCCGCTAGAGAGAATAGAGAGAGCTCACGAGGGATAGCGGCAACGTTGAGTCATTCGGAGACAAAGCTGAAACTCACCCGAGGGCCATCTGCCCAAACTGGTCTAACCACCCGGCCGGCGAAGGACAAGAAATTCAAGAAAGGGAAGTGTCGCATCTCTAAACGTGTGGAAGATACTACAAATTCCCTAAACATAACTAGAACTTTGGCGAGGGTCCGTCGGTCACCCCGAGACACTGGCCCACACGGGAAAGACTACCCCGGTGTTGGATGCTGAACCACCCAACGCGTCCAGGCACCATGGCGCCAGCAAGGTCACCGGTAGTGCACGCGGCCTTCTTTACTCGGCCCCTTTACTCTGCGAGAGCAGGGTGGACATGACCTCACAAAATCCTGAATCCTCACAGCTGCTGACTGGGGCAGCGGGGGACGGACGCCCTGTGTGTTACGGGGGACTCTGGATTGTAAGGGTTCAGGGCGAATATTAATTAAACACAAGCGTCCCCTCTGAAAATACCGGAGGAACATAAAGGAAGGCCGATTTCCCCCACAAATACCAGCACCAGGAAAGAGCGGGCAAGACCGGTTTCCATAAGGTTGGAGGACAAGACTCAGCAGAGGCCGTCAACTCCCGTTCAAGGGTGTGTCCTTCCCAGATGTTCAGAAAAACGCACCTCTGTCTGCAGAAAGCATTTCCCAAACCACTAATATCCCCTTTGCCCCTAAAAGGACTTTTGGAGATCCCTCCAGAAACACACGCGTCATGGTCCATCAGAAAACTCAGCAAAGGACCAAAGGACGTCCCACAGCCATCTCTGTCGATTGACCTAGGACAGACGCCCAGACCTTAAAACAAAGCACGTGAGGACAGACGGACATGTCTGGAGTCCCGTGTGTCTCTCTGACCCCCGCAAAGGCTGGGCATCCTACAGAACACTCCTCCAGTCTCTGGGCGTCCGAATGATCCCAAGTAGAGCCACAACGTTATCGATTTTTTTTTTTTTTTTTTTTTGGAAGAGCGGGGGCTCCAACTCACGATCCCGAAATCAAGACCTGATTTGAGATCAACTTCCCTGAGACACCCAGGCACTGCCCCCGGGGACGCTGAGTAATTCTGAGCCTCCAAACACACGTCCGTCTTGGAGCTCTACCCCGTCTTTGCGTCATAAGCCCCATTCGATTCTTTTCCCCCTAAAAGAAGTCGTCGTGCATTGGAAAATCTCAGGAGGGGGAAACAGCACGACACCCCCGACTGTGGTATTCAGGGCCCCGTGGGGAAGCCACGTGCAAAAAAAAAAGGGCAGTTTCCATCCATGAAATTGTGCTGGGACCCCTTCACGTTGAAATCGTTGTGTTGCTCTAAGAGCCACATTCTGCTGTAAATGAGAGCAGGCAGCCAAGATGTCATCCAGATGGAAGAAAAAATAAAATCTACAAAACTCAAGTACTTTCCTATCTCGACATGCCAAAAAAGAAAACAAGAAAAAAAGGCGTTAGCCTCATAAACTGAAAACGGAAAAAAGCGCCCAAGCAGGGAGGTCCACAAAGTGCAATTAAGCTTTATCAGGGCCCAAAGGGCAGGCGGGCAGGCAAACAGGCGGGACCACGAAAGCCAAACCCGAAAGCCATACCCAGGGGGCAGAGAGCAGAGCCGTCATCAGGAAACCGGAGAGACCAAGCCCACACTGGCTTTGTACATTTGGGACTGCCTGCCTCTGGGGGATGCGGAGGGACATCTTGTGCAAGGCTGGGTGTTCAGAGTGTCTGGTCTCCAGGTACCACCTGCCCGTGTACCCGTTCCACCAGCTGTCACAACTCAAAAAAAAAAAAGAAAAAAAGAAAAAAAAAGAAAAGAAAGAAAGAAAAGAAGAAAAAATGTCCTCAGGAATTTCCAAGTATCCCAGGGGTGGGGAAAGCCCAGCTCTATGAATGGTGAAATGCCCCTTTACGTCTCCTCCATCCTTCCCTCCGTTCCCATGGGAATCCCAGAAGCAAGCCAGGAACCCAGGGAGCCCTGGGTCCCCGGGACTTTGAAATCTGTCCTGACCCGTTAAAAGCAAAGGTCTGTCCCCAGGCTCAGCCGGTTTCGATAGCCCGCGTGCAAACCACGCCAAACACCTATTTCTACAGGAAATTGTGTTCTGACCTTCAGCAACTGCAAAGCAGTTTCCTGATTTAAAAAAGAAAAAAATGCATTTGTATCTTTGGAACTGCTGGTTCCTGCCCTGAACCCCAGAAGGATCCTGTAGGGAGGAGGCGTGCGTGTATGCAGGGGGAGTCTGCACCCTTGAAAGGATCAACGGGGAGTAAAGGTCCATCCTTCCCTCCTTTCTCTGCTGTTGGGGAAAAGCTGGCTCCCCTCGCCTCCCTGCTCCCCTCCGCTGCCTCCAGTAATTTCAGTAAAATCGTGCCCCATGTTGGAGCTGCCGGCACAGTCTGTATATAAATCAGGTAATTTCCCGGACAATCATGCCATGGGTTTTTCTAAGAAACAAATCAGAAAAGGACTCGTGTGGGGCCCCAAGAACAGAAGGAGGCTGGCCCAGATGGGTGAGCCAGACCACGACCACAGAGGCCCCACGCGGCTCGCTAAGACTGCCCACCGGGTTCCTGAATTAGGAGACCGTCCCCGTTCTTGGACCGTCCCCTGTGTCCTGGCTGTGTGGGTTTAGATGCTCTTCCAGCCCCACCACCACCAAGGATGGTCCGGTCCCGAGGAACCAGAACCACTCCTGATCCACGGCCTTGGAACCCTGCCCACGGAAGGGGCTCATGAAAGCTTCAGAAGACAGACACCCACACACCCAGAGGACCCTCGCACACTCCTCTGTGCAGGTGTCATACCAACAAACATATAGAAAGCCAACCATGGTGGGGGAGGGTGCGGGCCAAACCCATTTCTGCGGGACCAGCCAGAGCGGAAGGAAAAGAGGACATTGCTTCCGGAAGGAAGAGAGAAACTGGAGAGCTATGCCAGGCCCTCCCAGCCAGGTCGTGAAGTGTCCCAAGATGTTCCCCCCATACACCAGGCTTAATCTCCCCCTGAAGCCACCAGAGGGCACAGGGCCCATTCCAAAACCCCCACATGAATTCACAAATCCTCCCCCGAAACAACCGGGGTGCCAGGCACTCAAAACTCAAGTCTTTAGCGCAGAGTTGGAGGCCTCTCCAACAGAGGGAAAGTCCCCAGCAGCACATAGGCCTCTGGCCATGACTCCTGTTTGCAAAATGTGTCCACCTCGGAGCAGACCCGTCCTGAAACTCCTCTGCCGGGCGCCGGACTGTCCACTCAACAGTCTGGCCACCCTCCCCGGGTGGGTCCTGCGGGAGGGGGGCGCAAGGGAAATCAATAACCGTCAGGTGGGGAAAGTTTCCAAAATGCCACGCCTAGCAAAAAATAAGTAAATAAATAAAAATTTAAAAAATCGGAGCTCTCCTTTTGAAAGGACAGAAAGGGAGAAATAGGATGGCAACTTCCCCCTTAAAGGAGAGCAACAGGAAAGCAGGCAGCAGCCAGAAACCGGCGCGGCTGTGTGCGCGGAAAAGTGGGGCGTCGAGGTGGAGAAGGGGAGGGTCCCCAAGCCTCCCCTCGTCCTGACACTTTTTCTGTGTTTTCTTAATTTTCCACTAGAACAGACGCGCAGTGCGCTGATACAGCGTTCCCCTTCCCCGCGCGCGCAGCGAGCGCCCCAGTCCCTGAGGCTTGGGCACACCGTGTTTCTGAACGTGTCCAAAGCTCCGAGTTGCTCTCAACGGCCCCCACCCCCGCTCCGGCGGGCGCGCAGGCTGCACAGCAGACTCCAAATTTAGGCCCGGAACGCAGGGCGTGGCTCCCCGCGCACCAACAAAGACCCGGGCACCGGGTGCGCCGAGGCGGGGGGGGGGGGGGGGCTCGGGCCGCTGCAGGGGAGCAGGGGCGCACACGCGGGGCCGGGGGCACCTGAGAAGTGTCCCGCGTGCGAGCACCCAAGGCCAGCGGCTCCCGCCAGCGCCTCCAACTACGGGAGCTGCCGACTTGGAAAACACGCGGCATTTCGCCCCTGGAGTAAGTCCAAACCCGCCCCGGAAAAAAGTTGGAGCGCCGTGAGGCCGCCTGTTTGGGGCGTTGGCTACCCGCGGGCACGGCGCGTCCCGCCGAGCGGGGAGGAGGACCCGGGGTCCCCGCGGTGTCCCCCGAGGCCCGCCTCACGCAGGGCGCCCCCGAGGCCCTCCCTGGGGTCCCGGCGCGCGCGGCCGTGTGCGGGTCGTCCCCAGGCCGGCCGGCGCCCCCGGAGCACTCCGCCCGCCCCCGCCCCCACCAGGCCCTCCAAATCGCTCACCCCGGGCGGGCACTAGGGTGCCGAGCAGGCCGACCAGCAGCAGCGCGACGGCGGCCCGGGGAGCCATGGTGCGCCCGGCGCCGCGCAAAAACCGTCCCGGAGTGCGGCGCGCGGGCAGCGGGGGCGGCGGCGGCGGCGGCGGCGGCTGCGGGAGGGCCCACGGGGCGGGGCCGGCGGAGGGAGAGGTCGGTGGGGGCGCCCTGTGGCCCCGCCCTGGCCTCCGCTCGCCCCGCCCGCAGCCCGGGGACACCCCAGGGGCGGGCCCAGCGCAAGGGAGTGGAAAAGTGGAGGAGGCCTGGTTACTCAGGGCGGCCCCGACCGGAGCAAGTGACCCCCTCCCTATTAGGAAAGTGGGGGCTCCCTAGCCGCCCTGACCACCCTAGGGCGGCTTCAAGGGGAGCAAGTGATCCCTCCCTATTCGGAAAGTGGGGGCCTTCTGCTCCCCCCTCCACCCCAGGGCGGCCTGGAAAGGCGCAAGTGACCCTGTCCCTATTCAGAAAGTGGGGGCCCCTTACCCGTCCTAACCACCCCAGGGCGGCCCCGAGGGGAGCAAGCCAGCCCCTCCCTGCTCAGAAGGTGGGGCCCCTCCTAGTGTGTCGGGCCCCTAACGGGACCCGCGCCCCCAAGAACGCGGAAGAGGCGCGCCCCGCCCCAACTCCTAACGGGGACGCGTGCCCCCTCGAGCGGGGCCGAGAGAAAGGCTCTCCTTTCTCAGGTACCGTGGTTCCCTGGCCCCCAGCAGCCCCCAGTCCCATCCCAAAGTCCGGTCTGAACTGACAGAGCCCGGAGCAGGCGTGGGGGCTTGGGGGGCGCAGGGTAGCGCCCCACCCGGCAGCCTCCACAAGGACCTCCCTGCGAGGAGCCTCCGAAGCCTTTGAGCACCCCAAGCTGGGGGCGGGGCGCGCAGATGGGGAGAGGCACGAGACCCCTCCCTCTCCCTTGGGAGGTGGCGCTGGCGTCCTGCTGGGTCTCTGGCCACAGCCCAGACCCCACGCTTGGGGCTGGTCCTTGTCCCAGACCATCAATATTTTTTTCGCTGAAATGTTAGCTTAATATTCTCTCCGTGTTCCTTCAGAGAACAGAACATCTCAGATGGAGAAAAATCCCTGAGTCAGATTCCTGCATTCCACCCTGCAAACCCTACCCCGCTAGGGGCCAGCTCCAGCCCAGCTCCAGCCCTCTCCTCACCCCTGCAGGAGTCAGGGCCCCTCCTCCCCGGGGCCATCAGGACACCTGTCCAGCTGCTGTCACCTACCGCCACCTACCAGGTCCAGACAGACTCCAGGCAGGCCAGACGCACTGGACAGCACCTTGGGGCCCGCCTGGGGCAAATGCAGGGACACTTACTTAAAAAGGCAACGGTCTGGCCATATAGGGCTGGACCCTTGGAGGTGTCCCGTTTTCCATCCGCCAACAGGAGCCCCACCACCGTAAGACTGTGGTGCCAGAGGTAGGAAGATCATGCAGTCCTTTCTCCGGAAAATGCAATAATCACCCTTTGAAGTCAGTGTGTGCTGACCGCCCAGCCAGAGACCACCTGCCCTCTGCCCCCACACACCCTCTCCCCCTACATGCGGCTTCTCCATTCATCCCTGTGCAGCCTTGACTCACCCCCCACGAAGCCAATGTGTACGTCCGCCTTCCCCGGCCACAGCCTGGCGGCCAGTGCATCGTGTGGACCCTGGGCCAGGGCCCCCAGGAGGCTCTTCTTGGGCAGCAACGGGATGCTGGAGCTGCTGCAGCCCTTTTGGCACCCTGAGGCAGGTCAGTAGGCTTCGAGAAGCCAGTTGTGTTTGGGACCAAAGTCAAAAGGCAAAGACCTCTCCCCTGCCCACGGAATGGTCCATTTCAGCCCTTTCCCCCGCCCACTGTTCAACATAAAACCTCAACTGGGACATGTTTAACGTCACTCCCTTGGGATGCAGCGGGGCTGAGACTGCCCTACCCACACCACGGTCAGCATTCCAGAACACTCTCCAGCCTGGGCTCTCCTTTCATCCCCGAGGGGCTAGGTCCCTGTCACCAGCTGTCACAGATGGGCACGGTCACTGGCACTAAAAGCCAGGCTTTCAGGCTGGTTGGGGTTTTTTTCATTTGTTTGTTTGTTTGTTTGTTTCTTTTTTTAATTTAAGTTCATACCAACAGGCGTCTTGGATGCGTCTCTTTCTAATTCATTAAGTTGACTTTTTTTTTTTTCTTAAGGGCCACCTTCCCTGGCTCAGAATGAACGTTTCCATCATGTTTCGCAGATGCTCTGGCATCGAGGTCTGAGCTGCAGAATAAAAATTAAATTAATTGACGGAGGTCCCTGAGGTGTGCGGAGGTGCAGCAGAAGAGATCTTTGAAGGACATTCGTGAAGACCCAGACAGGGAGGAGGGAGGAAAGGTCCTTTTCGCGTAGGCTTCTTGCTCTGCTGGTTGGGACTCAGGACAGGAGGGGGAAGTCTGAGCGTTTTTGGCATCCCCTGTAACACACGCACAGACACACGCACACCTACAGACTACTCCTTCTCCGTCAGTGATGGACCATTCTTTGTGTGACCACTGGGCTCTGTCTCTCGACCTAGAAAGCGGGTCTCGACACAGGCCCCAGGAACCCAATGCACAGAGAAAAAAGTAATCTTAGAAAGCAGAACAGAAAAGACCATTATCCGTGCGGGGCGTGCGGGAGACAGACAACCTCAGCTGTCGGAGCAGAAGTTTGCAGAAAGCAGGACCTGGCCAGTGGGGGAAATTCCAAGAGGCCATTCCCGGTTGCAGGGGGCCTGGGCATCTGTTTCCGTCTCCTTGGGAACACTCTGTCCTCACTGCAACCCAAAGCTGGGGTGGGGGGAGGTCCCCTCTTCGTGGCCCTGGAGTCAAAAGATGCAGCCAAAGCAAAGAACGGAAAAAGGGAGGGTTTTCCTTGCAATTTCCCGAAGCAGTGTCTTCTCCGAACCACAGAATGGGGGGATGTTGAAGCTTTGGGGTGTATGCCTGACCAGGATAGGGCTTGCAAGGTGGGGGGACGCAGGGCCGCAGTTATCGGAAGGTGACAGGGTCCAGGTCCTACCTAGCTGCTGGAACTCACAAGGGTCATCGAGGCCCAGGATTATCAATACTCTGGCTCCAGCCGGTCTGCTGTTTGGGGAGCTCACAGGGATTTAAAACCCTGTGTAAGGGACTCAGGAATGCGCTCAAGGTCAAACTTGGGTCCTCCCGCAGCGAGGGGAGCTGTACGCCTGGTTTCCTGACTCTGATTCCTTCGGGCTGGCCCCGGGCTGGGGAGAGACTTTTTGTTTTTTCATTCTTTCGTTCCCCTGTAAAAAACTTAAAAAATCACGAAGTCCTGAACTTTGTGTGTATCTTTGTCACGTTTGCAGGAAGTTGTGCAAGAAGTGTGCGGGGGAGGGTCGAGCCGGTGGGCACTAGATCAGTAAATGATTGGGGGAAGGGACCTAAAATATTTCTCTTCTGTTTTTTTTTTTTGTTTTTTTAAGATTTTATTTATTAATGTGACAGAGAGAGAGAGAGAGAGAGCACACAAGCAGGGGGAGCATCAGAAGGCGAGGGAGAAGCAGGTTCTCCGCTGGGCAGAGAGCTCGATGCTAGACTCGAACCCAGGCCCTGAGATCATGACCTGAGCCTAAGGCAGGTGCTTCACAGAATGAGCCCCCCGGATAGGGAGGCAGCAGGGAGCCCAGCACGAGACCAGGCGCTTGGAGTTGGAAGCAGAGCCCTCCCCCGGAGTTGGCCCAGCCTTCAGCATCCGGCCCCACAACCCAAGGCTCCATTTACGGGGAGAACAACACTCCGTTTTGGTTCTGGGAAGGGGCCCTGTCGAGCCGGCGTGGGCCACCATTATTCCAAAGTACCACAGACATCTGTCCGGTCACCTGTCACGGTTCCCCACCTGCCGATACCCGCCCACTGGGCTCAGCCCTTCCGCACTCACGATTGCATTTCTGGAGGGATGCAAATATTCAGTCCCTAGCAACCTCCACTTAAAAGAGTATTGTTTATGACAACTGTAGGGCAGAGAAGCACAGACTTCCTGCAACACAAGAACAGAAGTGACAGACAATCCACGTAAGCCAGGAAGGGAAACGGCAGCCTTTTGAAAGCACTGAAGTAAATGAAAAACTGCGGCTTAAACCCAACCGCATTGCATGGAAACGCTCTCTGGGGTTTAAGAGAACGACTCGGAGTACACGCGGAATGCATAGCCCGGATTACTTCCTGCAAAGCGAGGGATGTCTTTGTTACCTGTATTTGCTGCACTCTCTGCACGGAATCTGCGTTATTTTCGAACTTGGAGGTGAACGTATTTTCAAACTGTAAGAGCGAAAATGTGGGGAACGCCGCCAGAGTGTGGCCCTAACTTCAGGAAGGATCTAGCTCCTGGAAGATGATGATAGCCATTCAATGAGACGGAGCCTGATTTCCCTTCTGGCTCATCTCTGGACAGGTAAATGGGGAGATGGTTGATGGATGCGTAGTGGGTGGTTGGGTGGGTGGATTGATGGTTAGCACATGGATGGATAGATGGATGGATGGATGGCTGGATGGATGGATGGATGGACGGATGGATGGTTAGTGGATGGACAGATGGATGGATGATGGATAGATGATGGATGGTTAGTGATTGGATGGATGGGAGGATAGAAGGATGGATGGATGATGGATGGATGGATGATGGATGCGTAGATGATCGATGGATGGTTAGTGATTGGATGGATGAAAGGTTAGAAGGTTGGATGGATGGATGATGGATGGATGGATGGATGGATGATGGATAGATGATGGATGGTTAGTGATTGGATGGATGGGAGGATAGAAGGATGGATGGATGATGGATGGATGGATGATGGATGGGTAGATGATCGATGGATGGTTAGTGATTGGATGGATGAAAGGTTAGAAGGTTGGATGGATGGATGATGGATAGATGGATGGATGGATGGATGGATGATGGATGGATAGATGGATGGATCATGGATAGATGGATGGATGTTCTTAGCTCCTAGTCACACCAAATCTTGTCCTCCAGACTTTCTCTTGATATCTCAATTATTCTAGGAGAATCAGTGAGAACTGACGTATTTGCAATCTGGTACATACATAACCAGTGCCCTACCCTGAATCAGATGGGCTCCACTGCCCTTTTAAGGTTCAGGTTTTCATCTTTAAGCCTGGGCAGCACTAGACCTTTTTGCCAGGATGTTTCACCGGGACAAGGCCCCGCAGCACTTCCCTCCTCTGAGTCCCCACCTATCCGCTCCTGTTCCCTCTTCTCAGTCTTGTCTTCCCCAAGTTCCTTGAGATCCCTCTTCTCAGTGATTCCTTAGTACACTCAGCCACTCAACAGCTACCCAAGGGCCCACACTTTGGAATACAGCAGTGAAATTAAGCAGCCGTAGCTCTGTCTCAGAGAGCAGTGCTTAGTTTTAATAGCCCTTGATTTACATGTATTTATTTGTGTTTATCTGAGTCTCCCCAAAGTCTTTGAGCAGTCTTGTTTTTTATTCTATCTCAGCACCTGGCTGAGAGCCCAACACACAGAGACTGCCTTTCAGATGCTTAATTACTGCACTGAATCAAGCAAAACAGAAATGAGCATGCCATGAAAAGCTGAGCATTTAGGTAATGAAGCTTTTTTATTACCTTTGGCCTATCAGGACACACACACACAGCGCAACACACACACAGAGTATGCATGTATATAAATGTCCACACTTACTTCGACATATAGATCTACATCTGTCCATCCATCCATTGATCTTGGGTACATGCAAGACTATGCATTGTATGCAATACTTCTACCTTCTTCCATACTAAGGGACTTGAATTTTTATGGATGTTGGCAATATGGCAGCTGAAAGACCATTATCTTCAGTCTTCCTTGCAGTTAAGTGTAACCAAAAAGTAAGTTCTGGTCCATGAAATAAAAGTAAGCAGAAATTGTTGAAGAAAACTTCTGAAATGTTCCTTAAACGATGGATGGATGGATGGATGGATGGATGGATGGTTGGATGGCAAGTGGCTCATTTAGCCCTCTCCCTGCTTCATCTTGTGCTTTCCTGGAATACCAGGTTGATGCCTGGAGCCCCAGGAGCCAGTCTGGAGAAGGAGGTAACCCAGAGGATGGGAGCTACTCTTGTAGGATGACTGACCATAGGAAGAGAGAAGTAACATTTTTATTTTATCTTTTTTTTAAAAAAAAGTCATATTTGCTTCAGTCTTATTTAAAGCAGTTTTCTTTCTGGTCTTTGTTACGAAAGGTTGAGCCCAGTTTATAATAGAAACCCTCTATGAGTTCCTTATGGGCAATCAAAACAGCTAAGATGGGTCTGGCCATCACACATGGTGTCTGTTGAACAGATGTTGAGGAGAAATTTCCTGAGTCAGTAGAATGGTAGGCGGAATGATGAGTAGTTGGATGTGTCAGGGGATATGTGGGTGGATAGATGGGTGGATGGGTGGATGGATGGATGGATGGATGGGTGGGTGGATGGATGGATGGGTGGATGGATGGATAAGTGGATGGATGGATGGATGGATGGATGGATGGATGGTTGGATAAGTAGATGGATGGATGGATGGATGGGTAAGTAGATGGATGTGTGGATGGATGGACAGATGGACAGATGATGGATGGATGGATGGATGGGTAAGTAGATGGATGTGTGGTT